GTGTTCCTCTTGTCTTTTATTTTGTTTGGGGGGGGACTTTTCATTTAAATATGCATTGCCTCAGCCTAAGAGTTGTTATCTCACACAAGTGGTGACCCCCTTTTTTGGGGGGGTGATATGCAACAAAATTCTTTGATGTCATCCAACCAAAATATCCATGTCACATGTTTACATCAAACATTCTGTCTAGTTGGTTTCAAATTAAAAATGTTTTAAAACATAATTATTCTCTTACCCCAAATTTTTCACAGACTTCAAAACCCATCCACTTGGGGAGAGGACAGTTCAGCTTCTGAATTAAAATAAAGTCCTTTGGAGATTGTGACTCATTCCAAATACCAAATGTCATGTGAGTTCACTCTTAGAGACATCTGTAAGCTTGTCTTGGGTGTTGGCTACTACAATTAATAGAGGGGGATACTCATCACAGCGACGGAGGGAAGTGGACAAAGCCTGCGAGCGACCCTGTAGTGTAGTTTAGCATGTGTGTGGTGAACGTGCTCAAGCCCAGCCTTTTATGCTCGTTGAACCCCAACCTAACAATACACTTCATTCTACAGTGATTAGTGACAAAATGCCTCATAACAATTCAAAAGAACATTTTCGTGTGCTGCATACTTCAGAATGACAAATTCTCAGGTGGACACGGGAGGTTCCATACTGGCTTAACCATCACAATTGTGCTTTATCAACCATTTAAGACTAGTCACTCAACAGGCTCTTGACCAACAGGAATGCGTAAACTGTCTAAGTTTTTATGGATAGTTTAGTTTATGTTATCTAGAATGAAGTAATTTTGAGAAAGACAAACTCTATGATGTGTGAGATCATTTTGCCAAAATGAAGAGTCATTTAACTCCCTGGTGTTGACATTGTAATCTTTTAAAATCTTTTTAAATCCTTAGCTATCGTTTGTTGAGGGTGAGTGAGTAAGAGTTGAGGGTAATGTTGGAGCTTACTTGGGGGAATATCTCTTTTGCCCATTATTTGTAGATCACTCATTTTGTTTTTGCATGTGTGTTTTGTTAAGTGTTTAATTTATTTCAGAGATACGTGTATTCCCCAAATGGCCAAACGTTTCATACTAGAGATTTAAAACTTTCAGTCTATGGCCTTCAACCTACCCAAATTACCAATACATTTGCATATTTCCCTAGTCCATTATGCCTTTCACAAACTTCTCCATCAGCTGGTAGTGCTTCCTCAACTCCCATAATGCCCATTGGAGCAGCCGCCATGTTCTTCCTCTTTTTCTTAGCACCATTATGATCAGATGTGTATTGTCCAAGTCCAAGATTTTCAAGAGTTTTTGTTTGCTAATTCTACCTTCTGTGTTATTTCTCAATCAGCAGCTAATTCCTAATATCTTATTGTTGATTACTATACAGCTTGTGGTAAGACGGTTTAGTTTTTGGTCACATTTTAATGCCTTTCTTTTTGGACATGGGTACGTTAGGCAATTGCCTGTTCTCGCAATAAAGCTTGGGTCTAGAAAACTCGTTGTGTCTCTTTCTGTGGCCTTTAAACTGCATTTATTAGTCCTTTTTCATGCCACACTGTTGTGGTTTGGTTTACCTTGTGTGAGGTAATAAAGATTGCGTTTTTACCCCTCACTGCATTTGATTATTGTCAGACATGTGTACGTGTTTCTCCTTCATTTCTCCCTTTTTATGTATATCATATCAGACTTCATGATCGGGAGACTTAATTAGGACATCCATGCCCCTTCTAGTTTTTGCTTGTGGCAAGGATGCTTGGTCTCTGGTTAGGGGCTGGTCTACGTCAATGCGAGCAACAGATTGTTGGCGTTTGTAGGGACACTGTGGTGTGGCGGTTTTGGTCCCCTTGAATGCCAGAAATAGAACAGTATGTTGGTTCACTATTCCCTCTCGTTATGGTCGGTAAGGGGTGCAACCTAGCGATACCCTAATTTACATCTGCCTCCCTTGTAGCTTTTAGTTGCCCAGAGTTTAAGCATCAGGCTGAAGTGAGTAGGCCAGTTCACATCCTCCCTGGGTTGCCAGACTGCAGTGGGCAGGGCCACCACTGATATGGTCGACAGGCACAACCCAGTGGCCACAACTCTTCACGCTCCAGGCCGACACGGTGGGCTTGATTGCAGGCATAGTCCCTGAGTTCCTAACTGCCCTCCCTGGCAATGCATTGGCCGTCGTCAGGTGTGAATCTACCAGCCCATTCACGCTCCTCAACAGGCCTACTGGAATGTAGCAAGTCACTATTCAGAACCAAACTAGATCAAGCGACACGTTGCAGAACATGCTCGCCAAACCTCCACAGCCAAACAGTCAGTGGCTTCTATACATTACCCTACATATACAGTAACGTAGGCCAGACCTGTCCTGGCCTCCACCACCCAGTCTCCCGACAGATCCACCACGCCCCCTGGACTGCTTCGCCTCTGGACTTTTGGTCTCCATCCCTGGTCAGTCAGACTTCTCAACGCCCTGTGCCTGCCCAGACTTCCGACAATGCTGGAGCACAGCGGTTCCCTCCAGCGGATACGTCTCCGACCAATCCAGGAAGAAATGCAAGCTACAGACTCAATCTTCCTCAGATCGTCCTTCCATGAAAAAGAAGGTGAAGAACTTACAACTCCCCTTCAACTTAGGAAGTGCTATGCGCTATTTTGGAAACCTTTTGGAAAAGTGTTAACCTCCACATCATCCATCTACTACATACCCGGATCTGCATCCCTACTAGCCCCCTCCGGCCTGTACGTTCTTGCCCTACTCCAGGGCTGAGCAGCAGTCTTTGAACACCACGGCAGTATCAGCCACTGGCTGCTGGGAATTCACATGAATCCAGTGCCCCTCACCCTACTGAGGCTAACACCAATCCCAATCCACATGCACAAGATCCTGTGGATCTGTTATCCAATGAGGAGGAACCCTTCTTGATGGGTAGCCTATCCTCCTCAGAGTCTCACCTTTGCCTACTCCAATGTGAGATGGTCCAGGTCCTGGGACTTTCTTGCCCTGCACCACAACAGGATAGCCAGAACTGTCTGAGCTCCTGCTTGACTGTGTTTGTGTTGACAGCATGGGAAGACTGGCTAAAGCAAAATGCTGGCACCCCTATGCCCGCTTTTGGAACTACTACCACTTTCTGCTGGGTGATTTCGAACTTACCTCTCTGTGCCCGCTATCCCTGACACAGCCGAGGGCAAGACAGTGGCAGTGACCTTTTCCAAGAAAACCAGGAATCAGATAGAATCAGCATTCTCAGACATGGATCATGCAGCTTGTACCAACATTAAATGCATGTCTTTCTTGTTTCTTCCGACTGAATTTCTAGTTCACACGTGAGGACTCCTCTCAATTTCCCCTGAATTCAACACTTTGGCCTTACATAGCCTCAACGAGTCCCACTAGTAGGCCTTGAACTATGCATCCATATTTCTCTCTGAGTTATGTCTGCGTGCAGAAAAAATGTTATCAAGGAAACTCTTCATGTTCAGCGAAGACCTTCACAGGCCAGTTCGTCAACCCTCTGGAAACGCAGGTTAAGCAAACCGACCCAGCACAGATCTCTTTCTACCAGCCACTAAAGACTTCCCCCAGGAGTGGCTGTAGATCTAACCCAGAACTGAGGCAATGCAGACCCCTGCCTTCTTTCAGACAACCTCAGCATGTCCATGCCCATGATGTCCAGGCTGTCTCCTCCTCCTGGGCCTATTTGAAGGGGATTCCCATGACTGAAATATGTAAGATGGAATGTTGGAAATCTTCATCAACATTTACCTCTTGTTATCTCAGTGATGTCTTACAGGGGGATCACGCTCACGGACTGGCTGTTCTCGGGATAACATCATGGCAACTCTGGTGCCGGCCATCGTAGACCCTTCAAGTGAGTTCATTCAAGCAACCTCCTCTATTGAGTCAGGGGTTTTACCCCTTTCTTTAAGTTGATATTGCTTGGACCTATAACTTCTGGGACTCTCTCTTATGAGTGTATGGTAGTGAAACCTCGCCTACCCACAGATACTTACCTTACATACCTTCTGTGGACATTCATTTCTTTTCGTGCAGTTGAGAAAACTTAGTGAAAAGACTCATTTTTTTGAACTGGGAACATGATTTTCAGCTTTTTTTGTACAAGGTTTCCTTCCTTTTACAACAGATGACCCCTACCCCAAAATGCCTCTAAACCTCTTTTCCAGAGAAGGGGAAATGTCCTGTAGATGTTTCCACAAAACGTCTTGTTTTCGTGCATCATGTGGACATCTTTTGTTCACAAGTCCACATTAGGTATGTAAGGTTAGCGCACCTCCTCAGGCATGATGCTACTCTGCTACTGTTACCTGGGTAGGTTGAAAGCTGTAGACTCTTCCCCACCTGGAGTGGGTCGAGTCTATTACTGAATACCTACCCAGCTTACCACTCTCCCTTCCTCCTCCCCACTCAACCTTGGCACTCTTGCATGTCGAAAAAGAGGAAGAACATGGTGGCCCCTCCGCTGGGCATTATGGGAGTTGAGGGCACACTACCGGCAGATTGAGAATTTAGCAAATGGCACAATGGACTTGGGAAATATGCAAATGTATTGGTAATCTGGGTAGCTATTCAGTAGTAGACTAGGCCCACTCAAGGGGGGTGGGGAGAAACTAATGTCCTGGCCAAAAGAATCCAACCCACTCTCTTTACAGGTATGAAGAAATAAGAAAAATTTCTTTACATCTGATGTGGCAGTTATTGTGAAGTATCCATGTGTATTTTCCCAGCCACAAAAAGCACCAAACAGTGAGCTGCTGCCTTCAAAATTATGCTGATTCCACAGAAAATGCATCTGTTACAAAAGCAATACATGGGAAATCACACATTTAGGGCCAGTTTGCTAACTGATGACTGCACTTTATAGGCAATACATTTTAGAGCAAAGTATGCACTGTCCAGGATGGTATGATCCTTTACCAAATACAACATTAAGAAGGAGAAAGCAAACAATTAGGAAGTTAAAATTTCTTTTTAAATGTGTCACAGGAGAATGTCCAAGATGAAGGTGAACCAGTCATACCTAAAAAAAGATGATAAGGCACACATCGAAAGAGGAGCTCAATTCTCATCTTGTAATGGAGATACTGAGAAGAAAATCAATGGGGAACCCATAGATGACTCACCTTCCAATCATGTTGCTGCTTTGAGGAAAGCATTCAGTTCAGGTGACAACAAGCCTTACAGTAAGCAGGGGCGAGAACTGCTTAAGGTATGTATCATTATGCCAGATCTTAGGCCATGTTTGAATTACTTGGCTGCAGCCATAATAGTGGTTGCAGCCACTACCTGCGGAGTCGTGTGTAGTTTCCAGCCACAGCCAAGCAATTGCGACACTGCCTTACAGGTGCATTAAGCATTTTTACAGATGGAACACTGCATTTACTTGTACTTCTTTGTGCATATTTTATTAAGATTTCACCCACTGGCCTTTTATGTATTAACTAAGGAGGGCATTTTATTGTTATGTACTTGGCAGCCTCCATTTTGAATAGTTTATCTCTCTCTTCTTTCTTTTGGGGGCTACATGTATTAGGTTCCCTTGCTTGTATTATTAACTGATTATGTAATGGCTTTAGAGAAATAAACATGCTCCACTCATATGCTTACTTTTCACCTCCATTTTGGGTGCTCCATTTCATAAATGCTGAGAACCACCCGTTCCCCTTAAATGCTGGATCTGCCATTGTCTAATGACTCATAACTTTCTGCTTGGTTAACCACATGGACAAGACTGCACGTTTATCTTATGCACAAAATCAGTGGGGTGTACAACGGCATCAGGCGCATTGCATTCAAGTGTTGGTCCAGAGTCCATGTTCATAATTCATGATGAAGGGACTTGTGCAAGGAGCTCAATCCCCTTTCCTAAATGCTATATTACATCACTATAATGTTTACCTCTGTAGGGTCTGCTGATCTCAGATTTTTCATAATCTATATACAATGTATAGTGGAAATACAGTGTTGCGTTACTTGACATTGATATTTCCCTGTGTTCAAAATAAAGGCTAAAGACATCACTTTGTGTGGAGGAAACCTGAAGGAATAGTAGCAGCATAACATTCATTTAGGCTTGATCCACCACAAGTGTACTCATCAAATGTGTAGCTAGTCCGAAAGCATAAATGTCTTTTGTCTTCCATATTTGGGAAACATGTGTTTGCATGTGAGGAGTGGATACACATGCAGCCTGTGCCTAAATAAGTTCAAGTAGGATAGGGAGATGGGCATGCTTCCATGGATACTTTTGTCAGACTCAAACTATTTGAACTTGAAGTGATAAGTGTACATGAAAAAATGACTGCTTAGCCTTTAGTGTGGATGGGAGTAACAGCCATAATGTGTGGTACCAGTATGCTTGTCAAACCACTTGCTTTCATTTTTCATTTAAATTACAAAGTGGTATTGTGCCTGATAAATAAAAATTATTATTATTCTCATTTTATTTTAACAAATAACTGTTTAGCACAGGAACAGTAAGGCTTCAGATCTCTTGATTCCACACAAACAGCACTCTTGGATGTTTTGGATTTCTTACTCAAACAGATGGATAATGGTAAATTAATTGGAGTGTTTCATATCACCGTAAAGCTTATGACACTGTTTAATTGCACAATTTTGCTCCAAACAATTTCATACTATAGGTGTAAGAGGTCTGGAGCTTGACTTGTTCTGGTTCCATAGTACCTATAGTTGTGCTCAAAATTATTTACATCCTTTGGAAAATAACATACTTTTCTAAATTTCTCATTTGTAAAAGCTGTTATGTTGGTGCTTCTGCCTTTTGTCAGTTTGTTGCAGTACACAAACCTTCGTGTGTTGGCTAACATCATTTGCATACTAATAGGTACGGCCCTAGTTTATTTTTTGCTCCTGGTCAAAATTATTCATACCCCACATTTACATAGTCCAAAGTCTCTTCTTAATAGTCAATAGTGTGGCCTTTGTTCTTGATGACTGCCTCAAGATGGTTCCTATAAGTGTCCACAAGCTTTCTGCATGTCTCCTGTGGGATGTTGGCCCACTCTTCCTCGGTGAAAGCCTCGATCCAGCTGGATCAGGTTGGATGGTCTCCTGGTAATCATTCTAGTCTTCAGCTCCCTCCACAGATTCTCTAATGGATTTAGATCAGGACTTTGGCTTGGCCATTCCAGTACGTAGACACCATTGTCCTTGAACCACTGCCTTACTACCTTGGTGTGCTTGGGGTCATTGTCCTGCTGGCACATCTAATCAGGTCCAAGCTGGAGTTTCTCAGCAGATACTTTCACATTGTTATCAAGGATCTTGATATAATCCTCCTTTTTCATGATGCCCTGCATTTTCTTCAAATGAGGTTCCAGGTGCCACTAGCAAAGAAGCAACCCCATAGCATTATGCTGCTACCACCATGGTTTATGGTTGGGACTGTGTTCATCGGCTTGTATGTGTGGAGAGCTGGGCTGGTGGAAGGGGGGTGAGAAAGGAAGGAGGGGGCCAGGCATGCTGGTTCATGAGTACATGTACCTGTGGCAGCCAGTGTTCTTAAGTTCTCTCTCCTTCCAGAGGGTTTATTCTATCAGTACAATAGTAGTAGTCAGTAGGCAGTCAGTAGTAGTTTTGTCAAAAATCAACGTTAAAACTCCAACATTACTCTACCTCAAATTTCATCTAAATTTCACATTTTCAATCCAACAAAAGCCATCCCTATCCTTATTAAACCAGTCTATGATAAATTGTGGGAAAGGTAGTAAAGAATCTGCAAAATAATGAATTTTATGCTACAAAAATGGAAGTAAAAGAAACAACATGATTACCTGCAAAGAGTCAGGCAGGCAGTGCCAAAACCAGTGTTTAGAGAGGTATTTATGTGCCAATGTAGTACAGTCTAAAACAGGCCGCCAGACCTCATAAATTTACAACAAAGAGAACATCGATAAAAAAAAAATAACAAATGTTATTACATTTCTAGGTCCTTGGCCCGCATTTCTTCCATTGAAGCTTATAATGAACTACATGTACCTGTGGCATGTCGGCCTGATTCGTGTGAATCAAGTTGGGGCGTACTGTTCGGACGATCACAATGCAATTAAGGCAACACAAACACACAGTTACAGTTGCAAACTTCAGCAGTGTCGATTTTTTCACATGACTCATCGGGTAGTTAGGACTCCAGAATTACAAATTGGATAAGATCATACCCCCCCAATCATCAGGCCGTTGGTGCTGCCTCCACTACTTCATCCTTCTATGTCTGACGCCATTGACAGGCCTTTTTCGTATTCCTTGCCATCTGTCCCATGCATCATACACACCCGTTTTTTTTCCTTTCGTTTTCAATGTCCTACCCAATAACATGTTTGCAGCCTCACGTGCAATGCGCTAACTTTCTGTTGGTTACTGGTCACCCAGGGTCACGCAACTTTCAGTGCCCCCGATACAGTGTGCTATATTTAGCTTGTACACTTCTACAACACATGTGTACGCCATATAATGGTCATCGTGCAAAGCCATTTCTCTACACCCTCCCCTACTTTAAATGATCTGCTCCTGACGATCCGGACCTCAAATTTAACCGCGTTAACACTGCTTAAATGTAAAATATAACAATCAGCAACTAATCAATTACATAATAGGAACACATTTACAAACTCCAGCCCGTTTACTTGGAGCTACTGGAAAGAAGCTACTGGAAGGATACCCCAAGACCTTCCTCACAGTAAGCCTACACAGCCTTCAGCTAGCCACGAGGTGCCTGAACCCAATGTCCACTACTTCTTTCAGCGAAGCACTGACTTTGGCAGGCGAAAGGGGTTGCTATGCCTGCCATTTGTGCTTCTCTTAGACCTCCGAACAGGTGATACATTTCTATTGAGCTCCCGTACTTTCTGTTGGTCTGGGAACCAAACTCGGAGTCTGCTCCGTGGCATCCACGGGGGCTGACTAAAATCCCAGTAAGAGTCATCCGAGCCAGACTCACTACGCAAACTAGACTCCCCAGATTCTGGAGGGCAAAGCCGTAGCAATTTCCCGTGAACAGTCTTTTGATCCCCTCCCAACAATGGTCGAATATGGTATACGTCACCATGTTCATTAATACCAACCCCTATTGCTCTCGTATGCATTTGCTAACTTATGCTGCCCCCGGAAAGCACACTTCTTGAGCAATACTTGCGTATCAACACAAATTGGTTCAGCATTCACTTTCAAATCGTAAGCAGCCTTATTGCAAATGCAGGTCTTGGACACCCTGTCACTGACTAGTTCCTTTGCCCTGTCAGTTTACTGTGCTTGCTCCTTCACAAAGTCCTGTCCCCAGTCACTGTCGGTCTTCCCCAGCATCTGGTCAATTGGGATTAAAGGATCTCTCCCAAACAGGAGGGTATATGGCGTCTCTCCAGTAACACAGTGCGGCGTAGTATTGTAAACAAATACCAAGTGAACCAACATCTCGGGTCACTTACGCCTATCCCGTTCGCTTAAGGATTTGATTAACCCGAACAGTGTCCTATTAAACTGCTCCGCTTGTGAGTTTCTCTCTGGGTAGTAGGGGGTTGTCCTGGATTTTGTTATACCATACAAAGTGCAGAGCTCTCTAATAACTTCCCCCTCAAAATTTCTCCCCCGGACGCTATGTGATCTACTTGGAATTCCAAACCAGGTGAACCAATTTTGCACAAGGACTTTGGCCACAGTGACGGCAAGCTGATCCCTACAGGGGACAGCCTGCACAAATCTCGTGTAAACATCTGTGATAACTAGTACATCCTCAAAACCGTCCTTTCCTTCGTCAACTTTGACAAAATCAATGGCAACCACCTCTAGGGGCCTGAACGCGAGCAAGTGACGCATAGGTGTCTTAGGCTTAGGTTCTGCAGCCTATATGGTTGCACACTGCCTACACTGACCAATATAACGGCGTACCATGGTGGCCATGTTAGGCCAATGTACCCGTCTCCTTAGGAGCCCACAAGTTCTGGTAACACTCTGGTGCCCCCATCCATCATGACAATCCTGTATCACCCGATGAACGAGACACTTAGGCAGCAAAATCTGAAATAATTCTCCATGCAATGGATCATTAATCTGACGGCAGAGCAATCCATCCACTCAACATAACTTGGCTGCTGCCACACCCATGCTCTCAACTCCGGTGACTCAACACCAAGGCGCCATCCGGCCTCCCACCATTTCCAGACAATGCCCAACTCCGAGTCTTCCTTTTGCAAGGCTTGCAAACTGGTCAACACAGTTGGTTGCCCTGGCTCAACAGCACCCCCCCCCTTTGTAAGGACTCATGAACAGTGCCCCCTGAGACATCTGCCCGAATTGGAACTTGGTACTAGTATGCACTGGAAAACTCGTTCAACTTCAGTAGCATAACAATGACCAGGGTAGTGACTGAGTGCATCAGCACACTTGTTACTGACCCCTGACCTGAATCTTACATCGAAGTTTAACGCAGCAAGTTGAGCTACCCATCTCATCTCACAAGCTCCGAGCTTAGCTGTTTCCAAATGAGCAAGAGGGTTATGATCCGTGCACACCGTGAATGGCAATCCTACAAGGTAGTCACAAAATTTGTCAATAACCGCCCATTTTAACGCGAGGAGCTCTAGTTTAAATGAACTGTAATCAGGATAATTACGTTCGGCACCCCTAAGCCCTCTACTGGCATAAGCCACATGGTGTCGCCTCCCCTTCTCATCTTCTTGCGCAAGGCACGCCCCTACCCTAATCCCTTCAGAGAAGCATCTACTTCTAGTAGAAATGGCTTACTGAAATCTGGATAGATCAACACTGGAGTCTCTGTGAGTGCTTGTTTCAAGGTGGCAAATGCACTATCAGCTTCTGTTGTCCACTCAAAAATCTTCTGACTAACCTCATACTTTCCCTACCAAGAGGAGGTAACAACCGTGCAACAGTTTTGCAATCTTTGCGAATGCAGGAATAAAACATCTATAATACCCCGCTAAACCTAGGAAAGACCTCAGCTCTCCAGGCTTTGCCGGAATCGGCCAGTGTTTGACCCTCTGCACCTTGTCTGCATCCACAGATATGCCATCCGAACTAACTACATGGCCCAAATAAGACACCTTTTTCCAGAGGAACTGACATTTCTTCCCTTTCATCTTCAAACCAAAGTCAGTGATTCTAGTGACAACCTTATCCAGCCTACTAATGTGTACTTCAATGTCACCCCCCCAAAAAAACAAGAATATTGTCTAGATAGATCAGAATTTCAATGAGATTGACATCACCTAGACACATATCCATCTTGCGCTGAAACGTACGTGGCACATTTACGATCCGGAAAGGCATTCGGGTGTACTCAAACAACCCAAACGGCACCCGAAATGCTGTCTTTGGGATGGACTCCGAATCCATTGTAATTTGATGATACCCATGCGCAAGGTCAAGCGAAGAAAAGTAGTGCACACCACATAGGGCTTCCAATGATTCATCATCTCGGCAGCGGAAATGCGTCGTGCACTATTTTTGCGTTTAGCCGTCTATAGTCTACGCATATCCAGATTGTCCCATCCCGTTTCTTGACTAGCTCAATGGGTCTAGCATAGGCATTTTTCTGGATGATACCCTGTTCTAAGAACTTCTGAAGAAGTTCCTTCACCTCCCCAATATACTGTGGAGGTATCCTACGATACGGCTGACTCACCGGCGTGTCGTCTGTGGTTTGAATCTTGTGTGGGACTTGATCGCATGTACCCAGATCGAACGGTCCTTTTGAGAAAACCCTGTCATGTGTCTGGATCGAGCCTACTACACAATCAAGCTCATCACCACTTACCATCACCAAGCTTATCCCTGGCAGCAAACGATACGAGCGTCCATTTGCAAAAATATGCATCACAGACTTCTGAGGTTCATCGGTCCCTGGCATAGAATCTGGTTCCCAACAACACTGCTCCTCTGGGCCACTGTCATAATAATTTCAATCCAATGGAGCTAACACCCTATTTACAGATACCTTCAAACCCACTACCCTCCATATCTTAATCCAGCTGTAGGGTGGGGGAAACTTCACCGAGGGAGTTTAACTGAGTGTGCGGAGGAATCGTAACAGTTTGTGCCCCCATGGACCATGGCAACAAGATCGTTGACTCTGTTTCTGTGTACAACCTCGCATGAATCATAGACCGGTAAACCCCTATTCAAACCTAAGTCACCTGACAGTGGTTGTCACTGCATCGACCAAAACCTTACCCTGCTTCCCTTGCAGCAGTATGGTTTCCCCTCCCACACTTCTGAAGGAGCACAAACATTACATATCACGGAATGCACTTCCCTGAGGGGAATGGAGGTCATACAACATCCCGTACAAACAGCAACTGGTCCCTTCCTATGGGATGAAACCCTAGCTGGTTCCTGTTTAGTCAAATTGTGCAAATGTAGCGTCACATTCCATGCATCAGCATCCTTATGTGAGGGATCTACAACCATATCCTTTAACTGGTGCAAGACATTGCAACCCAACAGAGCTGCGCCCACTTCCCAAACCGCCCCCAGGAGTGTCTTTCACAGCAAGGAAATGTGCCTCAACCCTTTGGTTGAAAACCCGCAGAGGGATCTGGACATATCCTTCAACCGGTACCTCACAAGGTCCTACGCCAAACGCGTAAAAAAAGTTCCTACTGGTTCCACTCCTGCCATATGCGCAGCCAACTTGTCCTTAAAGAATGCTGCACTTACAAGGGAGGTTTCTGCCCCCGTGTCAAGAACTACACCAGCTGAGACCCCTACTAATTCTACATAAGCCCTTGGACTGCCATGTACCAATTTATCAAGAACATCATCGGTTGACAGAGAGCTAGAACCTGATCCCTTAACTGTATTTCTTTTGGGCGAGACCTCTTTCTTAAATGTATTTCCCCCAACCACTTGGCCCATAGTGGCAAAGGGGGTTAGTTTAACCCTCCCCCACTTTGTGGCTGCAAACCCCCTGGCTCAGTGCCAGCCTGATTGTTGGGCCCCTTCATACTTCATAATCTCCTGCTGCTGTTGCAACATTTGTTGCAACTCCAGGATGGGCTCGGTATTTTTACCCCTCATTGCACCGGCGACGAAAACATTGACCCCAGGATCATTTACTTCCTCATCACAGTCTGCTATGACGTGCCTAGCCTGAGCACGTGTTCGTTTTGGAGCTCTCTTGAGATCCCGAAAAGTCTTGAGTGCTGCATCACGCAATTTAGGTAACGTCTGTGAGGGCTTTGCTAACTCTAACCTTCTTAACTCTAATCTCACACTCTGACTACGTGCCCTGGCTACAAATTGCCCGATAAGAACTTTATAAAGGAGGGCTTTCAACGAAGTTTTCTCACATTCCAAAGATACTTTCAGTACCCTGTCATGCAACCTTATGAGAGCTCTAGAAAAGTCCATTAAGGACTCATCCTCCTGTTATGTATGCTCATACAATGCTTTATGGAGAGATTGCACCGTCTCCCAACCCCCTTGAACTCTAATCCTGTTTCTCTGTGACATTTTATCTCATCACGTGCCGTCCCTTTTAAATGATTGATGACAACTTGTGCCTTTTTACACTCTGTATGGCGGATATAATAGGAGACACTGTTAAGTTGGGTTTACTATGGATTTATCTACTTTAATAAGTTACCTGCTATTGTGTCTTCTGTGGTTAAAAATGCTAATTGGATGCCCACTGCTTGCAAAGACAATCATTTCAAAAAGATCTCTAGATTAATAGAATTACAAAACCTTTTAGAAATGGTTGTCTTTGTGAGCAGTGCTGCAGTACACTAAATTGTGGTTATCTTCAGTTCTTTCCTAATAGACCTCTCATAGAGTCTTTTTTAGTCATTTGATGTTTGCCCTGTTGAGCATCCTGTATTCACCAATCGGTGGAGAATTCACAGACAATACCGTGGCAGTCTTTATTTTGTCAAACAGTAATCTCTGAGCCTGAGATTGCCTTAGTACAGCAAAAACAAGTCCAACATCTCAGAATTTAATACCAACAAGGCACAAATTCAAAAGTGGACCATCATACATAGTAGCAGGAAAAGCTGAGTGACATTGTCAAACTAAACCACTGCGAATGACTATGATTGATTCGTTTTGTGGTTAATTGATTTTTGTTAATTGTTTTGTTTTGTTTCTTTAGGATTATTATTTTGTTATTTTTTTATTGTACGTTTAGTTCCAAAACACATAAAAGTAACATGTCATAAAGCAGTTAGTAGCTTTTCTTTCTTTGCGCAGGCATTTCAGAATAAGAAGCAAGAAAGAAGGCATATTTGGAACCCAACCAAAGAAGGCTACTTGGAAAAACTGAGCAATACTAAGAGCCCTCTCACCTCATCATGGAATAGACGTTTTTTTGAGCTTACAGCCAAAGGACACCTGTATTACAGCAAGCGCAAGAATGAAAAAAATGTGGAGTCCATCTATTTGCGTGGTGTCCCTGTTGCACTAGAGGATGATAAAACACTGATTTTACAAACTGAAGAAAGATGCTATAAGCTACGGGCTAACTCTCACAAAGAAGCACAGGAATGGCTGGAATGTATTCTTTTTTATACACACAAACCAGCTAGTTTTCCTAAACGTTCGCTTACACCGAAGTCGTTTGAAGTGCAGTAAAACATTATAGTTATTCCACTTCAATAGAATGAACCAACTTTGAATTCCTCTTTGGAAACAGACAGAAACATATGGCATTTCCTTTTTTTCCTAGTGAGTGTAAAATCAACTTTTATCTGAAATATATATAATTATATTTATAATTGTAAAAATGTTTTGTATTTTATGAGTGTGTTTCATTTACTTATCTTTTAATCAGAAGTGTCATTGGGTTTCTATGTGAACAATAGTGAGCCAAAGTGTATCTTTTATGTTTGTCTTTTCAAAACATTTGACAATTTCTCTAATTAGGCGCTATTCCTTTTAATTCCATGTGAAGTTGGTACATGTTGTAATTTGAATATTATGAGAGGGTCCCTGACCAGGTGGGCTTTACCGATACGCAACATCAGATGCTCTGTAGTCAAAAACAAAAAAATCTTACAATAGACGGGGTAAACATTAACAGAAGTATTGTTTTTTTTTTCATTGCTGTAGTCTGCAATTTCAAATCTGAGTAAATAGCCATGTCCAAGTTCAGCCTTTAAAATATCAGGATATAGATAGAGACAAGTCAAGAATAGTAAGTTTATCACTTTAAACATCTAGGCTGCTGCACCTAAACTGAGATGACAGTCTAATTTTTTTGCAGTCGGTGGAGACCAACCAGTTAAAATGTTGAACCAAAAAATTATTTTCTTTTGATTAAAATGATTAGACATGTGAAAGAAATGTAAACTACCCACTCAAGGTTAAACACATAGGTCCAGCTGATTGTTCGGGTCGGCCACTGAGTAGTAGGTCAAGCCATTTCTGAAGAACTATCCAAGTCTTTGGTCCACAAGAGGAAAAAAATAAGTAAATGATTTTCATTAGAATCGTCCGGGAGTTTGTACGTAAATTGCTTTTCAGTTTTGTAGTAGCACGCACAAGTCACATGTTAGATATACTGGTTTCGATTCGATTAGCTTCCATGGGGCATTCTCGAGTAATGGTTGTATACACTTTCTGCCAAACTAGAAAACTGTAGGGATGAATTGGTAATTTTGAGAGGCCAAAAACTATTATGGCGAGCGAATCTAAATTTTCTGTGAAAGCTTTTTGGACTTGCTGCGAATTGAGAGTATATTTTTGTGCTTTTTACACGTTTTTGATGGAATGAACATTGAAATAGACAAAAACAATACTGTTGCTTTCCAGTACTATGTAAGTACCGGTTAAGGACCAGCCCCCCCCCTTCCACTCGGCTTCTGCGCTCCAACGCCCACACAGACCAGAGCCGGGGTTTCCCACTTCATTCGCCTTGACCTTTGACCCCGGCGTAAACAACTCACGCACTTTCACCGCTCACACAGACCTGTCCACTTCACTTCACCCCCCTTTTCCACTCTGCTTCCCCGCTCCACCTGCCGCACCGGGGTTTCCCACTTCACCCACCTTGACCTTTGACCTCGACTCTCGCACAAACAACCTCAACCTCAAACAAACAAGGGGATTCTCAGAAAATTCTCTCTGCACCGAGGCTCTGAGAAAAAATGAGATTTATTTTGGAGATCTATAAAAATAACTAATGATGAACAAAGATTTGAAAAATAAAAAAAAATTGAAGTGATGAAAATGCAGAAGTAGACATTAGACACGTGAGACGATTTCAGGGAAATTATAGAAACTGGGAACTAACACTCAGATTTTTTTAATACGATCTCGTGCACTTTTTTATTTTTACAAAACTTTCATCGAAAAGAAAGCATTAGACAGGTTAAAGGGGATCGGCTCTTACAAACTACAAACGGCCTCAAAGTGCAGTTTAAATTGGAAAAACCTGACCAAACAGACCTGGGCGTTTTTACTTTCCCCTGCCAAAATACGGTTGTTGTAAAAAAAAAAAAAAAAGACGTGACTGCAGCACTCGCTGAGTAGAGGCAGAAACAAATAGAGGATGTGGAGGCTCACACGCAACGCAGATCAGGATGGGTCTTTGATAAAGTTGACACCTTTTACATGAACGTGGTGAGGTACCATCCGGTGGGTGCGACTTACATTCCAGTACCCGAGACAATAGCACTTAAGGAAGCATCATAAATGTTAAAAACAAAGATCAACAGTGTATCCGCTGGGCGTTGAGATCTGCTTTAAAGTTATATTCTGACAACGTCATAAGCCAGTTAGAGAAGAACCCAAATTACAAGATACATAACGAGCGCACTTCGATTTACGCAGAAGAAGACGGCTTAAATTTTGCTAACGTAAACTTCCAAACACCCATTTCACAAATCCCAAGTATCGAATTACAGAACAATCTCGCCATTTACGTATTTGGTTATGACAAAAAAGACGGCGTTTACGTACTTCACAAGACTAAGCGCTTAGATGATCCAATCAATTTGTTTTACTTTACCCGAGACAAAAAGAGCCACTACTGTTGGATCAAAAACTTTTCCCAGTTGACGGGCGATATTAATAAACACGAACTTTCGAACAGAAGTTAAGCAGACACAAAGAAGATTGCCAAGGGTTAGACTCGACGGCGTGTAAAGTTGTACTTTCAGAAAAAGGCAAAAACATTTGTTCTTGTAATTTGCCAAATAACTTGCTTTTTTAAGCAGTCTCTAATAACTGACTTGTCTGCGCCTGTCTATTTATGGAGATGATCCACAGCGCTTTCTCTTTTCCAATAGCCTTGAGGACTGTAAAACAACTTTGACAATTCTTGGTCCATTTTAAAATAAAGTAAACCCAACCGATACGCTGAAAAACGAACTAAAGTAGTTCAATATCGCACGTTGCAAAAGTACGTGGAACTCGGCCTCCAGTTAAAAGAGGTTCACCGCGTCAGATATAATCCATATAAATTCACGAATTTTCTGATCTTCAGACGGCGCGTAAAAATCTGATAATTTAGCTTCTGGTGGTAGTGGCATTATGGTTTTACCCGACAATTCGGCGTAGGCGCATAATGCTTCATCCACATTTACAAATGTTTGCTGATTTTTGCACGTTCTTCCCTCATTCGCTCGTTTCATCAGACAATAATCGAACGGTAATTAACAACGTGGCGAGAAACCTGATTTCGGAAATCAACGTTACCTTACAGGGAAACGAACTTGTCAGGTAAAGGAGTAGTAGGGATAGGAGAGTTCTGGAGCACCTTTTCTTTCACCCCTTTCACCCACACGCACTGGGGATTTCCACTTCACTGACCTTGAACTTTTGACCCCGGCGCACTTTTTGTGTAAACAACTCGTGACTACCGCCGATCGCACCAGCTATCACTCACAGACTAAAAAGGGACTTCCTGTCGATCTGAACTCGTGACCTCTACTTAAAGCATGGCTCTGTTCAAAGCAAAACACGCTATGTTTACAACCGCCTTAAATAAATGACCTACATATAAAAATAACAATATACAAAAAACATGTCAAGTCAAGTCGACAGAAAAAATGATTAAAATTTTAGAGACCTACATATAAAGAGAGACATGAGCAACCCACAACACCGACCTCTACTAACGACCTTTAATCGATTTCAGAAGGCGTTTTTAGAAGATTTTGTTAAGAGGTATAACATCCCATTACCGGGACCAAAAACAACCAAAACCCATAAATCTCACACTAAACCCGAGCTCATTGAAGCTATACGGGCAGATCAAAAACAATTTAGGTATCTCCCGCGCCAGTCATATCGGCAGCTGTTGAAAACGGTACAAAAATATAATATTCCTTTTGCAAACAAAGACAGATACATCAAACAGGACTTTATTGAAGCGATTAAAGCTTTACACGCAGCCCGAGGAAATTGCGGAAGTCGACATTAGAAACGTCAGGCGCTTTCAGGGTAATTTTTGCAATTGGGAATTGATACCCCGTCTCTTTGAATACGATTTGATACACTTTTTTGATTTTTACAAAACTTTCATCGAGAAAAAAAGCTTTGGAAGAACTAAAAGAAATTGGTTCGTACAAATTGCAAACAAATATCAAAGTTCAGTTTAGATTGAAAAAACCCGAAAAAAGGAATTTGGCGTATTCCCCTTTCCGATCGACAACGATGCAGTCGCAAATAAAGCCGACGTTAAAAACGCACTCACTGAATAGAGGGAAAAACAAATAAAAGAAGTGGAGGTTCATACTCAAAAAGGCTCGGGTTTGGATCTTTGACAAAGTCGCCGCTTTCTAAATCAACGTGGTTAAACATAATTCAGTGGGTTCTCCTTACATTCTCTTGCCTAAAGAATTGGTAGACAAAAAAGCAATTATAAATATCGAAAATAAAGATTAAGAATGTATCCGATGGGCGTTGCGGGCAGCTTTAAAATTATATTCTGACAACGTCAAAAGCCAGCTAGAAACAAATCCAAAATATAAACTAAATAAGGAGCGAACATCGACTTACAGGTCAGAATCAGAGGGTTTAAATTTTACAAACGTAAGCTTTCCAACACCGATTTCACGATTCCCACGTATCGAATCGCAAAATAACTTTTGTGTTTGGTTACACCAAAAAAGACGGTCTTTACATTCTTTACAAATGCAAGCGTCCAGAAGAACCGATCAATTTACTTTATTTTACCCGAGATGAAGAAAATCACTATTGTTGGATTAAAAACTTTTCTCGGTTGACGAGTGATATCAATCATCACAACGGCCAAAAACACTGGTGTTTTAATTGCATGTCGCATTTCCAAACGGAAGAAAAGTTAACCAGACACAAAGAAGATTGTCAAGGCTTAAATGTCGAGTTGCCGGCCAAAGGCGAAAATATACTCAAGTTCAAAAATTACAAAAATAAACAAGACGCACCTTTTGTCAATTACGCCGATTTTGAGTCTGTTTTAGAAAAACTACCGCCAACAGATACAAACACTCTCAAAACACAGGTTTACAAGCCTTGTGGCTACTCATACGCGGTCGTCAGATCCGACGGGATTTGTACTAGCCAAAAGACGTACAGGGGTGATGACGCGGCTGTTAATTTTGTACGGTCACTGTCTCAGGAAACAAAGAAGATCAACGAAACGTTTAAGAATTGAAGCGAAGTTGATCTGGTCACCCGAGTTACAAAAAATCTGCGAAAAATGTAATAGCTGTTGGATCTGCGAAAAGTTGATAAAAAATAAAATAGAAGAATCTCAATGCCAGTGTGATATTCCAAATGAACCAAAAACAAAATCTGACAAAATTGATTTCTGTCATAAAAATGAAGCTGGGTTCAGGGAATGGGTATATATGGACGTGCGAAAAGCAATAATTTTAGAAAGGTTAGGGATCATTGTCACGTGACGGGGAAGTACCGAGGCCCAGCGCATGCCAGGTGTAATCTCAAGTTAAGAATAGTGGTCAATCAAACACCATTCAACATCAAAAACATTCCGGTGATTTTTACATAATTTAGAAAAATACGACGCACATTTAATCATGCAAGGCGCTCACAAATTTTACAGAAAATCAATCAGTTGATCACTAAAAATACTGAAAATTACATTTTGTTTTCTTTTGGCCAACTCAGGTTTTTAGACTCATTTCATTTCATGGCGGCTTTGCTAGATCGGTTGGTTAAAAATTGTTCACCCGATGATTTTAACTTATTATGTGAAAGGTTTCCAAATAATAGTCATTTACTCTTGGAAAAAGGAATTTACCCGTACGAATATATCGATTCCTTTGATCGATTTCTAGAAACAAAACTACCGCCTATAGACGCTTTCTATAGCTCTTTCTATAGGTAGCTTTCTATAGCTCCGTGACCGAGCAATAATACACTCGTGCGGATACAGTATGGCAAGCCTTTGGCTGTAAAAACCTGGGCTACTACCATGGTACCATGGTAGTACCTATACGTGGAAACGGACGTGTTATTGCTAGCGGCTTCCGGAAAGTCTGTAAACAACACTACGGCCTTGACCCAGCCAACTATTACACGTCACCGGGTCTGTCGTGGGATGCATTGTTTAAGCATTCGGGTATACAATTGGAACTACTGACAGACATTGATAAGCACTTGTTCTTTGAAAGGGCCAAAAATGGGTGGGATTTCGAGTGTAGGAGCCAAACGATATGCAAAGGCCAACATTACCTGATTATGACCCAAA